GTCGTTGTATTGTGTGATCAATAAATAGATTGATTGGATCATGGCTAATGTTTCTTCCCTACCTCCTGTATATCTAGGTGCCCAAGAAAGAGGTGAAGACCTCTCACAAAGTGTGCATGACTTTAATAAAGGGTGCAAATCACAGACAATTTTCGCTAACTTTACTGGAATGATATTTGCATTCAAAACTGTGATAATTTGTTCAAGTTATTGTAGTTTTATTGTCCTTAGATGATCGAAAAATTGCACATTAAATTTTTTCTTACTTGTGTCTTTTTGATCGAGTGCTGTTTGTCTTGTGGTACACTTGCAGCTTCATATCTTTTTTGACGAGTTCCTTAAGAAGCATTTGCAAAATCTTCCTTTCGACTCAAATGTTTCATGATCATTGTTTTTCTTAAATTTGCTTTCGTTATCATCATTACTATTCATTATTTCATCAATTTCTTCCCTTGCTTGATCAATTTCTTTTTCCGAAGTTTCAACTTCATCCAATAGAAATCCAGATGCTCCATTTCTTTTTTTATATGTTGTTAATTTACATTAATAAACCATAATGTTTCGAACAAATCAAAAATAAAAATCACTAAATCGTTCACAATGAAAAAATGTAATTTGTTCATAGAAAATACATAGGAATAATTAATGTCGCTCAGTGAGGGGAAGTCAGTGAGCCCAAGTACCTTAAGAATGAAAAAAACGATTGTCACTCCCAAAAAAAGAGGGAGATATACATAACGTGTTATAAGAGGGTATAACATATACGTTTTAGTGCCTATCAAGACTGTCATATAGGACGATACTGACAAGTTCGGGGGTAACAAACAAACAATTTGTCCTGAATTAAAAATTTCGTGAGCTTGGGATGAAACAGTGCACCGCGTGACCGCTCTCATGTTAATACTTATGTTCGAATCCCAATTATTTAAATAATTGCAAATTTTTCATTAAAAAATTCGTAGGGGCATTTCCCAATTTTTCTCACTTAACTTCTATTTTTTTTTTTTTTTTCTTGTACAAATATACACAGTCAATTTTTGAATAATTTTCGTATTCTAATAATGCCATGCATTTGACCATTGCTTACAATTACAAGACAAAATAAAGTTTTTACCTTATATACTTATCGGATCCCAAAAGGAGACATATTCAATATAGTTTACTTCTCTCTTTCGCAAAAACTAATTCTTTGTATAAATTCTAATAAAAACAATTACGCGGATAAAAATTTTAATAAAGTGTTTAAAATTCCATGTTGCATATACTGTTTTTGCATAAAAAAAACAATAATAATTAATAATGATAAACTAATCTAAAAAATACATAGATAAATAAATTACTATTATATTATTGTAACTCTCTCTCATTACCCTGAATAATGTCGAA